TTATTAATATTATTGTTATTATTATCATTATTATCATTATTTCATTATTATCATTAGTATCATTATTATCATTATTATTATTATCATTATTATTATTATTATTATTATTATCATTATTATTATTATTATTCCTTCTCTTCTGCTTATTTCTTCTTTTCTTTTTTTTTGTCTATCAGGGCCGTCTCTTTCTCTATTTTTTTGTGTCTGTTTGTGTGTATGTGGTGTATGTGTGTGCGTGTGTGTGGTGCGTGTGTGTGTGTGAGCGTATGCGTGTGCGTGTCCGTGTGTGTGTGTGAGAGCGTGCGTGTGCGTGTATTTCCTTTATCCACGTATCTAGCTCTTCTCTCTACGTTTCTTTCTCCCCCATTCTCCTCCCTCTCCTCCCTCCCTCCAGCCCAAGAATTATCAAATCTAACTATCTCTCTCGCATCATTACATAACAGTGTCGGATGAGAAATGAGAATCCCAGAGACTCGAGAGATATAACATTAACCTCGAACAGGAAGAAAATGATAAGCTATCATTTAGTAAATTATATCAATCGACGGGAATTTCACGGACCTTCCCGATAAGAAAAGAATGATAATGATAAAGAAAAGAAGAAAAGAGATAAGCGGTGATTTTGGAAAAGACGGAGGAATTTGGCACACATTTTGGGGACTTCGATGCTGACTTAAGTAGTGATCTTGGCTTTATCGGTTCTTTGTCTTTATTCTTCTTTTTCGTTTCTGTTGATGCCTTTGTTTTTGTTTCTATTGTTGTTTTGTATTTTTCCCTTTTTCTTTATTTTTTCTTTTTCTTATTCTTTTGTTTTTTTCCTCTTCATTCTCTTCTCTTTTCGTCTCCTCTTTCCTCTCTTCTCTTCTTGTCTCCCTCTTTCCTTTTCTCTTTTTGTCTCTCTCCCTTTCCTCTCTTCTCTCTCTCTCTCCTGACTCTCTTTTTCGTATTACCCTCTTTCTCTACATTTTTCTCTCCTTCTGTTCTTCTCCATTCTCTCTCTTCTTGTCTTTCTTCTACTCCCCTCTTTCCTCTCTCATCTCTCTCCCTGACCTCCCTCTTGTCCGCTCATTTTCTACATCCTTCTCTTCTCGCCCCTCTTTCCTTCTCTTTACCTCCCTCTCCTTCCATAATTCTCTTCCTTTTCTCCTTCTTACACCTTTCTCTTCTCCTTCTCCCTTTTCCTTAACCACCAGCTTCATTTCTCTTCCTCTTTTCCCTTTTTTCCCTCCTCTTTTTTCCCCTCCCTTCTTCTCCCCCCCACCCTATTCCCTCCCGTCTTCCTCTCCCCTCTCTCCACCCCCCTTTCCCTCACTTCTCCCTCCCCCCTTTTCCCTTTCTCCTCTCCCTCCCCCTTTTCCCTTCACTCCCCCTCCCCACCCTTTCCCTCCCTTATTCCTCTCACTCCTCCCCCCTCCCCACCCCTCCACCCCCGCACCCACTTATGCATTACTCAACAGTTTGCGGGAAAACTCGGAAACTCGGAAGCTTCTTCGCCGAAAAATTTACGTCGCAAATAAACCTCAGGAAAGACTTTAAAAAAATGCTCTCTGTCTTTGCGGCGGAAGCGAGGTGTCCTTGGCTGAGTTCCCGAGATTTTTTTTTTGGATTTTTTTTTTCTATTGGGATCTTTTGTTTTTCTCTTCGTTTCGTTTGTCTTTTTTTTCGCTCCTCATCTTTATTTCTTCTTATTTTTTTCTTCTTGTTCTTTTTCTTCTTCCTCCTCCTCTTCTTCTTCTTCCTTCTCTCCTCCTCCTCCTCCTCCTTCTTCTTCTTCTACTCCTCCTTCTCTTCCCTCCCTCTCCTCCTTCTCCTCCTTCTTCTCCTCCTCCTTCTTCTCCTTTCTCCTCCTTCTCCTCCTCCTCCTCCTCCTCCTCCTCCTCCCCCTTTCCCCCTCTTCCTCCTCCTCCTCCCTCTCCTCCTTCTTCTCTCCTCCCCTTCCTCCTTCTTCTCCTCCTCCTTCTCTCTCCTCCTCCTCCTCCTCTCCTCCTCCTCCTCCTCCCTCCTTCTCCTTCTCTCCTCCCCCTCCTCCTTCTCCCCCCTCCTCCTCCTCCTTTCCTCTTCTCCTCCTCCTTCTCCTCTTCTTCCTCCCTCCCCCTCTCCTCTCCCTCCTTCCTCTCCTCCCCCCCCTCCTCCTCCTTTCATCATCATCTTCTTCTTCTTCTTCATCTTCTTCTTTCTTCCTCTTCTTTTCTCCTCCTCCTTCTCTTCTTCTTCAAGAGTAATAAATTACACCGCGCCATTGCATCATTTCGGAAATTATTATCGAGTTTTTTCTCTTTTTTTCTTTCTTTCTTCTTCTTTCTGCGCGTATTGTGAAGTCATCCGATGCATTAAATTAATTAAGTTAATACCGTGAATAAAGAAAATCTATAATTAAGAAAAAAAAATGTTGAAAACCGCACGAGTCATAAAATTATTAAGATGGCTTTTAGTGTGACGTCTCCTTCTCATGGCAATTTGTACTTGTATGTCCATTTTTTTCTTTTCTTTCTTCTTTCTTTCTTTCCTTTTCTTCTTTCCTTTCTTTCTTTCTTTTTTTTCTTTTTCCTTTTTCTTCTTTTCTTTTCTTTTCTTTTCTTTCCTTCCTTCCTTTCTTTCTTTTCTTTTTCTTTTTTTCTTCTTCTTTCTTTCTTTCTCCTTTCCTTTCTTTTTTTCTTTTCTTTATTTTTGCTGTTTTTTCCTCATGTGTAATTTCTCGTTGTTGTTATTATAAAGTCTAAATTTGAATACTTTTTATTCTCTTTCTCCATCTGATTGTATGTATGTCTTTCTCCATTTTTTGCTTCTTTTTCTTCTTCTTCTTCTCCTCCTTCCTCCTCCTCCTCTTCTCTTCTTCTTCTCCTCATTCTTCTTTTTCTTCATCTTCTTCTTTTTCTCTTCTTCTTCTTTTTCTTTTTCTTCAGGAGGGGAAGGGGGAGGGGAGGGAAGGAGGGGGAGGAGGGTGAAGGGAAGGGAGGGGAGGGGAAAGGGGAGGAGGGAGGAGGGGAGGGGAGGGAAGGGAGGAGGAAGGGAGGGGAAGGGGAGGGGAAGGAGGAAGGAGGAGGGAGGGGGAAGGGAGGGAGGGAGGGGGGGAAGGAAGGAGGGGAAGGGGGGGAGGGAAGGGGGGGAGGGGAAGGGAAGGGAAGGAGGGGAGGGGAAGGGAGGAGGGAGGGAGGAAGGAGATGAGGGGAGAGGAGGTTGGAAAGAGAGGGAGGAGGGGAGGAGAGAGCGAATTAAATCAGCTCCCTCCCTGCAACAGGAAGATCACACAAAGCCTCTCATGAATCAAAGTCACGCCATGAAACGAAAAAAAAAAAAAAAAAAAAAGGGGGGGGGGGGAGGCGGACGCGAACGAGCGAACCGCAGACAATGAACCCGAGGAATAAATCAAATCCGCGGCGGTTGAATCAGCCACGAAACGAAACGCGAATCTCCTCACGAAATCCATGAATCACCCCCTCTTCCGTCTCTGGCAGGGAGGGCTTCGTGTCCCGCTGCGCGCCTGCAACCTGCAACTTGCAACAATCGCGGGGGTCAATCGTCAGGCGAATTCCGGACCACGGAGGCTCGAGACGCCACCGCCCATGCTCAGCACCGCCCACAGCCAGCGATACGGACCACGGAGGCTCGAGACGCCCACCGCCCATGCATCAGCAGCGCCCACAGCCAGCGATACGGACCACGGAGGCTCGAGACCCCACCGCCATGCATCAGCACCGCCCACAGCCAGCGATACGGACCACGGAGGCTCGAGACGCCCACCGCCATGCATCAGCAGCCCAGCACAAGCGATACGGACCAAGGCTCGAGACGCCCACGCCATGCATCAGCAGCGCCCACAGCAGCGATACGGACCGGAGGCTCGAGAACGCCACCGCCAGCATCAGCAGCGCCCACAGCCAGCGATACGGACCACGGAGGCTCGAGACGCCCACCGCCATGCATCAGCACCGCCCACAGCCAGCGATACGGACCACGGAGGCTCGAGACGCCCGCCAGCATGCACAGCGCCGCTGCACCGCCCATGCATCAGCAGCGCCCACAGCCAGCGATACGGACCACGGAGGCTCGAGACGCCCACCGCCCATGCATCAGCAGCGCCCACAGCCAGCGATACGGACCACGGAGGCTCGAGACGCCCACCGCCCAAGCATCAGCACCGCCCACAGCCAGCGATACGGACCACGGAGGCTCGAGACGCCCACCGCCCATGCATCAGCAGCGCCCACAGACAGCGCTAGAACTTGCAACGGCGTTAACAACTTCGAAAAAAAGAGAAAAGTGAAAAATGAAAGAGACTGAGTGACGTAAAGAGTGAAAAATAAATGACTGAGTGACGTCAAGATTCTGACTGACTCGTCGAGCGCTGACGCAAGGAAATCAGGCGCGTTTAAGAGGTCGTAACGATGACGCAAAGGCTTTTTAAGACGATTATGCGAACGCTTTTAGGAAAAGGACTGCGGCGGCTAGACGAACGCTCGGAGAAGGAATCCGGCCGCTAGACGACCGAGAAGGAATCCGCCGGACCCGGACGCTAGACGAACGCTCGGAGAAGGAATCCGGACGCTAGACGAACGCTCGGAGAAGGAATCCGACCGCTAGACGAACGCTCGGGGAAGGGGATAGACGAACGCTCGGAGAAGGAATCCGGCCGCTAGACGAACGCTGAGAAGGAGGCCGCTAGACGCGCTGATCGCTGAAGCATGCCTATCTTGAAGCGAAATGCCGATCGCTTAACCGCCCATCGATGGGGGAGATACGGGAGGCAGTTACGCGAACGCTGATGACGTAAGGAGTCCAAACGTGCCGGCAAAACCTCACGACGAGATAAAGCTACACGAACGCTGATGAAGGCGATGCGGCAGTTACGCGAACGATGATGTAAACACTCAGGACGGGAAGCCAATCAATCATTCTTCTATCTACATTCCGGCAGAACCAGTTTCGATTGTTGGAAGATAAAATCGATTTTCCGGTTCCGTCCGTTTGCACTCGAGTCGAACCAGCTTGGGCGAACGGCAATGAATCCTATTGAATCCAGCTTTGTATGCGAACGCCGATCTCCAGCCGGACGAACGGAAATGAGCAGACGAAGAGGTCATTTGTAGCCAAAAAGAAAGGTCGAATAGCGCTAGAAAAAGGAGATTGGGCAAATAGCAAAGAAAATGAGGGATTGGGCGAATAGCAAAGAAAAAGAGGGATTGGGCGAATAGCAAAGAAAAAGAGGGATTGGCGATAAAAGAAAGATGGGATTGGTTGAATAGCGCTAGAAAAGGGGGGATTGGGAGAAAAACGCTCTAAAAGGAAGGATTCAACAAATGGCGCTAGAAAAGGAGAGATCGGGCGAATAAAGCAAGAAAAAGAGGGATTGGGCGAATAGGCAAACAGCCCTCGCCTCCTCTGCATCGACGTTCGCACAACCGGCGACGAATCCGTTCGTGCGAAGACGAAGAGGTCTGCGCGAACGGCTCCTTCCTCTCTCTCTCGGCTGGAAGGAGGCTCATTATTATCCGATTATCGCCTCAACAGCCACTTGGGAACCGGTGTCGGGGCGAGAACACGACTCGGCAGTGCGGGAATATTTCTCTTTTGGCGAAAGCTGTTTGGGTGTTTCTTCATTTTCCTTTCTTGAATATGGATATTCATTTATATGTATGTGTGTGTGTGTGTGTGTGTGTGTGTGTGTGTGTGTGTGTGTGTGTGTGTGTGTGTGTGTGTGTGTGTGTGTGTGAGAGAGAGAGAGAGAGAGAGAGAGAGAGAGAGAGAGAGAGAGAGAAGAGAGAGAGAGAGAGAGAGAGAGAGAGAGAGAGAGAGAGAGAGACAGACAGAGACAGACAGACAGACAGAAAGAAAGAAAGAAAGGAAAGAAGAGAGAGAGAGAGAGAGAGAGAGAGAGAGAGAGAGAGAGAGAGAGAGAGAGAGAGAGAGAGAGAGAGAGAGAGAGAGAGTGAGTAAGTACACTCATGTTTGTATAAATATAAGCACTGACAGATAGCTAGATAGGTAGATATAGATGCATGTATGTACGTATATGCTCAGCGTGCTCAGATACACAGAATAATTCATGAGTATGGATTTACATACATAAATCCTCACGTAATACCTACACAAGTACGCACACACATACACACGCTCCCGTACTCCATCTTCCTTGCACGCACACTTAGAAAGACGAGCTGGAAATCACTTCCTGATGGTTTGAAGAGGCACCATAAACACTCTCCTACGTTCACCTCCCCCCCCTCCCTCCTCCTCCTCTTTCTACTCCCTGAGAAAAAAATGCTATACTGGAAAAGAATGAACGATTACTGTTTTTGAGAAAATTAATTTATTTTAAAATTGTTCATATGATTAATCCTTCTCCATTTACACAACCATCGTTCTTAAAACACAGACACACAGACACATTCAGCTCTCTCACAACACACACACTCTTTCTCTCGTCTCTCTCTGTCTCTCCTGTCACCACACATCTCACTCCTTTCACACACTCTCTCTCTCCTCTACACTCTCTCTCTTTCTCTCTCTCTTCTCTTCTGTCTCTGTCTCTGTCACACACACACACACACACACTCTCTCTCTCTCTCACACACACTACACTCTTTCTCTCTTCTCTCTCTCTGTCACACACATCTATACTTCGCTCTCTCTCTCTCTCTCACACACTACCTCTCTCCTCTCTCTCTCCTCTCCTTCTCTCGTCTTTCTCCTCTCCTTCTCTCTCACTTCATCTCAACCTCTCTCCTCTCTCTCTCCCTCTCTCACCCACCCACGCACCCGTCCAGACCGCCCCCCGCTCCCACCCCAATCTGCTTCCCAGACGCGAGTGAAACGGACCTGGATTCCTCCCGAGTCATTTCTTAAGACAAAGCTGACTCGTTTATGGGTTGCAAATGCGGGGGAGAATGGAGACGAATTTGCAAAGTGCATTTAAAGAGCTCGCCACTTTCACTCTTCGCTCGGTGAAATGGTGAAAAAAGGGAAGGTGGAATAGGCGAGAGAGAGAGAAGAGAAGAGAGAAGAGAGAGAGAGAGAGAGAGAGAGAGAGAGAGAGAGAGAGAGAGAGAGAGAGGAGAGAGAGAGAGAGAAGAGAAGAAAAAAGTTGCTGGTAATAAAAAACTAGTTCGACCTGAAAGTAAGGTGCTGCTCTTCCCCTATTGATTTACTGGAGGTTACAAGAACGAGAGAAAATACATGTATTTTTATTGTCTATAATAACTGCTTGTGGCATTTCTGTTTTTTTTTTCTTTTTCTTCTCGGCTTTATGAATACATATAATATATGCATATGTGGGTGTGTTGTCGTGTTGGTGTGTGTGTGTGTTGTGTGTTGTGTTGCGTGTGTGTGTCGTGTGTGTGTGTGTGTTGCTGTGTGGTATATAACATGATAAATGTATTCCTAAGCAGACTGAGATTTAATATATAATAGAAAAAATAGAAACTCATTCCCACCATAAAGCCAGATACGCCAACCCCCCCCCTCCCCCGCCCCCAGAGATCCCTCGAGATCTGCTCCGATCTTCAAAACCTCACGGAGAATCTTCCAAGACCCTTTTTACAGGACCCTCGACATCTTCCGGACTTTTCGAGATTCCGAAAAAAGTCTTCCAGATCTCCAACACAATTTCCTCAGATCTCCTAAAAGGAGTCTTCCAATGCTCCCAACGACTTCCCAGATCTCCTAAAAAGTCTTCGAGATCTTCCAGACGATTTCTCAGATCTTCCGAGGCTCTCTGAAATCTCCCAAGAGTCTCCGAGATCTTCTAAGACTCTCAGATCTTCCACGAGTCTCCGAAATATCCCAGAGATACTGTTAAGAGACTGGTGGTGGGTGGTGGAGGAGGAGGAGGAGGAGAGGAGGAGGAGGAGGAGGAGGAGGAGGAGGAGGAGAAGAAGAAGGGAAGAAGAAGAAGAAGAGAAGAAGAGAAGAAGAAGAAGAAGAAGAAGAGGAAGAAAGAAGAAGAAGAAGAGAGAAGAAGAACAGAAGAGAAAGAAGAAAGAAGAAGAAGAAGAAAAGAAGAAGGGGAAGAGGGGGTGGAGGAGGGGAGGGGAGGAGGGGAAGGAGGAGGAGGAAGAGGAGGAGGAAGAGGGGGAGGAAGGAAGGAGGAGGAGAAGAAGAAGAAGAAGGAAGAGAGGAAGAGAGGAAAGAGGAAGCTTTCAATATTCTAGATAAAGGAGAGGAAGAGAGAGGAAGGAGGAGGAAGGAAAAGCGGAAGAAAAACAAAAGGAACAAATGGAAAAATAAGAATAGGAAGCACAATAGGAAGCACGATGGCGGTGGCTGGGGCCGCTGCCTTTCACTCGATCGAGACGCTTTCGGTGTTTCAGATAAAAGAGGAAGAGAGGAAGAGAGGAAGAGAGGAAGAGAGGAAGAGAGAAAAGAGGAAGAGAGGAAGAGAGAAGAGAGGAGAGAGAAGAAGAGAGCGAAGGCGTGTTATTATTATTTATTTAGTTATATGCTTTCTCTGTTTCTCTCTATGGTTCCCTCTTCCTTCCATTTCTTTTCTTGTTTCATTCTTTACGTATCTTTCTATCTTTTCCTCTTCCTACTTCCATCTGCTTCCTCCTTTCCTCCTTCTTATCTTATCCGTCCCTCTCACTTCCTCCCTTTCCAACTCCCCGATCCTCTCTTCTCTACGCCCCTCCCCCCCTTTATTCACTTCCTCCCCTTTCCCTTCCTTCCTCAATTCACCCCAGATAAAATTCCATTACGTCCATTCTTCTCTTTTCCTTCTTTATTCCTTTCCTTTATCAATTTCCTTATTATCACGATCTTCCGTAACGTTCATTTCTATTTTCCTTCTCCATTTCTTTCCTTTATCAATTTCCTTATTATCACGATCTTCCATTACGTCCATTCTTCTCTTTTCCTTCTCCATTCCTTTCCTTTATCAATTTCCTCATTATCACGATATTCTTCGTCTATTCTTCTATTTATTCTCCATTCCTTTCCTTTATCAATTTCTTATTATCGCGATCTTCCATTACGTCCATTTTTCTTTTTCCTTCTCCATTCCTTTCCTTCAATTTTCTTATTATCGCGATCTTCCATTACGTCCATTCTTTCTTTCCTTCTCCATTCCTTTCCTTTATCAATTTTCTTATTATCACGGTCTTCCATTACGTCCATTCTTCTCTTTTCCTTCCCATTCCTTTCCTTTATTACCTTCCTCCTTATCGCGATCTTCTATAACATCCACAATGTAAACAAAGACAGAAATATAACACTAGATTATGCAACACAAAGCAAGAATTCTGTTACTCTGTTCCATTAAAATTTCTCTATGATAGAGCTACTTTCTGTTATCGATGCACTCTGCAATACCGCTGTTATTTTGCAACATTGCGCCATCGTCATAACGTGATAAGTGCTCATACGCTTTCTGAAAATCGTGCTGTTAAAAAAAAAAAAAAAAAAAAGGGGGGGGGAAAGTCGATCTGGAATTCTATTTATAGAATTAACAACATAACATGAGTTAAATTATCTGTACCGCATAAATGATCATAATCAAATAAAAAAATGATAAGTAAATAAATAAACAAGTACAAAATCTGACAATAAAAAAATAATAAACGAAATCTGACAATAAATAGATTAACAAACACAACATCGGATAATAAATAACATATAAACAAATAAATAAACAAGAACAAAATCTGACAATAAACAAACAAGTAAACAAAACAAAACAAGCACAAAATCCGATAAAGCTACACAAACCAGACGCCCAAAGATCAACAGGAATTCACAAACAACGGACAGCACTCTCTTATCCCGAGCGCGGTGTGCCAGACGCAGACACCCCCCCTCCCCCCTCCCACCCCACCCCCACTCCCCACTTACTCGCATCCCGCCCATTACGAGTTCTGCGAAGAAGCGCCCTCTAGATTTCCTTTCCACGTGTGATGGGGAGGGGTAGGGGTGGGGTGGAGAGAGGGGGACAGGGAGGGAGAAGGGAGGGGGACAGGGAGAGGGAGGGGGAGAGAGAGGAGGGGGAGGGGAGGGGGAGGGAGAGAGGGAGGGGAAGTGGAGGGGGAGAGAGGGGAGGGGGAGAGAGGGAGGGGGAGGGGAGGGGGAGGGGAGGGAAGGGGGAGGGGGAGAGGGATAGGAGAGGGAGACGGAGAGGGAGAGAGAGGGAGGAGGAGTAGGGGAGAGAGAGAATAAGCAAAAGAGAGAGAGAGAGAGAGAGAGAGAGAGAGAGAGAGAGAGAGAGAGAGAGAGAGAGAGAGAGAGAGAGAGAGAGAGAGAGAGGAGAGAGAGAAGAAGAGAAAGAAAGAAAGAAAGAGAAAGAGAGAAGAATGAGAGAAAGAAAGAAAGAGAGAAAGAGAGAGAAGAAAAAGGCGAGAGCGTCTTGGGAAATAACGTCTTCCCCCCTCCCTCCCCCCTCCCCCCCTATCACCAAGAGGCAACAGCAACAGCAAACAAATGACTATATTTGTTTCGTTTCTCTTCTCACCAATAAAGTCATAAGCGCGAATGACACTGTGAGAACAGGAGGTGTCATGCGATGTCATGAGATTATGCGAAGAAAGCTAATGGCACAACATATGTCAATTTTTTTTGCTTTTATTTTTGGGATTTCTTGAAATTGGTGTTTAACCTAATATCCTTGTTATCATTAGCATAAATGTTATTTATGTTTATTTCCGCTCGTTTGTGTTAAGTGAAGTTGCAAGAATGCGAGACAAAATTCTGTTTTGTATGTGTGTGATTTTTAATCTAATGTGAATGTACCACCCTTAACACAGTCACATACCCATGTTTGTATGTACACCACACACACACACACACACACACACACACACACACACACACAACACACACACACACACACACACACACACACACACACCACACACACACACACACACACACACACACACACACACCACACACACACACACACACACCACACACGTACCTTTGCACACATGATACATACACCTTTATCTATTCACAAATAATACATACACTTTATATTGCACAAATGACGCACGTTCACCCCTCTACACTTTCTTCCCTTCCCGAAAACATGACTTTTCGAAAAGGCGTTTTCTCAGTCGACACTCGGCGAAAGTCCGGTGCGCGAATGGCCGCCACCCGTCAGATGGCCGGTTTGAGGCAAGGGAGGAACAGATGAAAATGGGAAATGAAAAAGAGAGCTGGGAGAAGGCTGGGGGAGGGGAAGGGACTGCGGGGAGGGAGGAGGAGAGGGAGGGAGGGAGGGAGGGAGGGAGGGAGGGAGGGAGGAGGGAGGGAGGGAGGGGAGGGAGGGGGAGGGAGAGGGAGGGGGGAGGGAGGGAGGGAGGAGGAGAGGGAGGAGGGAGGGAGGGGAGGGAGGAGGAGGGAGAGGGGAGGGAGGGAGGGAGAGGGAGGGAGGGAGGGAGAGGGGGAGGGAGAGAGGAAGGAGGAAGAGGAGGAGAGGAGGAGGAGGGAGGAGGAAGAAGAGAGAAGAAGAAGAAGAAGAAGAATTAGAAGAAAAGAAGAAGAAGGAGAAGAAGAACAAGAAAGAAGGAGAGGAAGGAGAGAGGAGGAAGAGAAGGAGAGGAGAAGAACAAGAGAGGCAAGAACAAGAAGGAGGAGGAGGAGAAAAACACGTTGAGAGTAATCCTTCCGTATGTCTTCGTCAGTAAACCTTCCTTCATAAATATTAGGTCGTATCCGTAGCCTGTATTCGTAAATCATTTTTCTTCGTGAACTTTCCTATATGTTCTTTTTTCGCTCGTTTTTGTTGTTTGTTTTTGTTTGTTTCACACGTAAACCATCTTCTTTTGTAAGCCTCCATTCGCACATTTTTTTTTTTTGTTTTGTTTTCTTTCTTTCGTAAACATCAGTTCGTAAGTTCGTTTTCGCAAATCTTCATTCGTCATACTTCCTCCTCCTCCGTCGTCCTCCTCGTGCACCGGATTTTCGCTTTCTCCGGCGCCCTCTTTGATCCGGCTTCGCGCTGTTGTCTGAATAACTCCTTACAACGGCCGGTCGCTCCTCACGGGTCCTGGCTGGCCGCCGCTAACTCTCTTATTTACATATTTACTTCTTCTCTTTACTCTTCTGTCTGTTCTGTTGACACGGCTTTATTCCCTGTGTTTGGTTTCTTCTTTCTTTATCCATCTTTTCTTCTTCTTCTTTTCTTTTCTTTGGGCGTCTTCGTCCAGTGGTCGATAAAAAGGATCTTGAGGTGGTTGAGGCTTCTTGAAAGATGTGGATATTCATCTCCATTTCTTTCTTAGTCTCTTTGTTATCATAAATATCATCGTTATCATCATCTTAATTATCATTATTGCAGTTATTAGTCATAAGATCAATATTCATCATTAATATCACTATCATCAATATCATCAATATCATCATTATACTTACAATTATCATTATTTGCATCTACATCATTATTCTTAACATTATCATCCTCATCCTATTATCCTCTTTTCAGCTCAAATCTGATGCTTTAATTTTATGTGATTCGAAAGAAATTCCCTTTTAAGGTTATGTAATCGGAATAAAGGATGTTTAGGCAACCCACG